AGGAGGAAAGGAAAGGAAAAAATAGGAGGAAAGGAAAGGAAAGAAATAGGAGGGAAGGGAAGGGAAAAGATAGAAGGAAAGGAAAGGAAAAGAAAGGAAAGGAAAGGAAGGAAAAAATAGGAGGAAAGGAAAGGAAAAAATAGGAGGAAAGGAAAGGGAAAAAATAGGAGGAAAGGAAAGGGAAAAAATAGAAGGAAAGGAAAGGAAAGAAAGGAGAAAAGGAAAGGAGAAAAAATAGAAGGAAAGGAAGGGAAAAAATAGAAGGGAAGGGGAAAGAGAAGGAAAGAAAAGGAAAAGAAAGGAAAGGAAAGGAAAGGAAAGGAAAGGAAGGGAAAAAAATAGAAGGGAAGGAAAGGAAAGGGAAAAATAGGAGGAAAGGAAAGGAAAAGAAATGAAATGAAGGGAAAGGAAAAGGAAAAGGAAAAGGAAAGGAAAGGAAAGGAAAGGAAGGGAAAAAAATAGAAGGGAAGGAAAGGAAAGGGAAAAATAGAAGGGAAGGAAAAGAAATGAAATGAAGGGAAAGGAAAGGAAAAAATAGAAGGAAAGGAAAGGAAAAGGAAAAGGAAAGGAAAGGAAAGGAAGAAAGCGCTCCAAAAAACACTTTCTCCCTCACACAATCAGGAAACTAGCTTCTTAGTATAGTTATTCATGGTCTCTTTGATCTTTCATCCAGCTGCTCAGAAAAGAGCAACCGGTTTTAACACTCTAACAAAAATAGCAGTTTCAAAAGTAAAAAAACATAAAAAAAGCAGAAGTGGAAAGGGAGTGAAAGCTGAACTGCACAGCTCTGTGGGCAATTTTCATCCCAGCTAGGAAGGCAGTAAGTAGCACCAGATGGCAAAAACTGGCTTCATTAACCCTCATGGATGAAAGACACGGGTGTGCAGGAGTCAGCAAAAACAGAAAGAAAATTGTCCTTCCAGGTTAGGAAAAACAAAACACAATTTATTTCAAGTCACCCTTTAACACCTGTAATTCTTTCCTCAGCTATGCAACCTGGCGACTACAACTGTTACTTCAAAGAATCATCTTTCACCCAAAAGGAAATGGTGTCATCTTTTTTCTCTTGTGGCAAACCAGCTTGTGTGTTGTTGCTGTTGTTTTTCTGAGTTCCCACTTGGTCCCCGTAGTCACTTCCCTTCTACCAGGTCCAAAAAAAAAACCCCTAGTGTCTCTGTCATGCCCTTCGGAGTCTGAATCCAAGGAGGAAGCTGGACAGTTGACAGGGCGTGGGAGTGTGGCTCCGTTGGTTGTGGAGGAAACTGGGGAAGGGCAAAGCAGGGAAGAATAGAACAAGGGAGAGGAAATTCAGAGGAAGACCCAGGCCCACCCCCTCTTGATCCTAGGGCAGGCAGGGAGGAACGGAGAAGGGAGCAATGTGGGTTGCGTGGCTTACGGGGGAAGAAAAGGCCCTGAATCCTTCATTAGCCAGCAGCTGGGAACACAGTTTATAAAAATGGCGAGCTGCGTGCGGCAGACTGTTGGGAGCAAACATCACTTTATCTTGTATCGTCATGGCTTATCTATGTTCCTGACGTCCTTCCCAACTGTGTGAGTTTTGCCGTGAAATTTCAAGCCTGAAATTCTTGTTCCTGCCCTGCCAAACTAATTACCGTATTTCCCCATGTATAAGCCACCACTTTTTTCCAAAATTTTCAAGCCCAAAAAGTAGGGGGGGTGGCATATACAAAGCAGGTACACTTTTTATACGTGAAAAATGCATAAAATAATAAAGTAGGAATAAACTGGTTTTCCAGCAGTATGCTATACTTTTTTGTAAAAATTGTAAGTGACGA